ATTTAATTTCTGAATCTTATAATTTGAATTAATCAAATTACAATAATTAAAATGTAAAATAGAAGATTTGAAGAGAAATTTGATTCAAAATATATCTAAGAAGTTTTATCTTTTTAAAATATTCAGTTTTTAGTATAAATAAACTTTATTTATTTATTTATTTATAATTTTTAAAAATAAATAATGGTAACTTTGCATTAATTATTCTAATAAAACTTATTAAAATTGTTTTTAAAATAAAGTTTCATGATAATACTTATTGTATATTTTTTAGTCTTTTGAAAAAGTTCTTGTGCAAAATATTCAGTTTGGTTTATCACCCAGTTTAACAGAGGCAATTAAAAGCATTAGTAGGCAAGTACTTATTATTTTATTCTTCATTAGTGGTGGCTTGTAAAGCTTTCTTATAGAAGGACTTATTATTATACAGTAAAACATGTGAAAAACAGAATTACACAGAACTGTATAAATAGGCTGACCATATGTCTTGTTTTATTATTTATCTTGTCATTTTAGTAAAAATCTCAATTTTGTTTCATTTTTATAAATACTTTAAAATATATTTAAATGTTGGCCAGTCAAAATCTGTAAACAAGTTTATATCAATGTATCTATTAGATATTTCTTGTGTATTCCTACAAAGGCAAGTACAATGGAACCTCGGTATACGACCTTAATCCATTCCTGATGTTTAGACTTATACCGAATAGGATGTATACCCAACCAACCTTTCCCATAAGAAGTAATGTAAAAATGATTAATCCGTTCTCATGTTAAAAAAAAAATGGCTGGCTTGAAACACCTCACTTTCCTGGCNTTCAGATTGATTTTCTTTAATTTATTGCATTTTGATTTTTTGAAGTTTTATTTTACTATTATTTAATTTCAATATTATAGTAATAGCTTTTTAATGAAGAAATTTAAATTTTAAAACTTATATTTTGATGATAGATGGAGATTAGTGCAAGCATCTTTACCATATGTTATGCATTGTTGTGCTGCTCTGTTATATCAAAGAAAAGATAGATGTTTAGATAAATTGGGAGCAGCTGAAACGAAACTTCTATATACTCTGCATTGGATATTGCTAGATGCAGCTGATGAATGTGCTGATTCAGAAGCTAATGGATATAGTTCCTTACAAACATATTTATTTCCTATATCTGTTATTCAGGTTTGTTTTTAGTTTTAAATTTTGATGTGATATTCTTATCTTATTTTTGTATTAAAAACAGAATATGATTTTTAAACAAATATCGTCATGTGCATGTCAATACAATGTAGATATACTCATGAAGTTATTTTATACAGGGTTCCTACATACCTGGAAAGTAAGGAAAGTCAGGGAGTTTCATTAGTGTTTGGAAAAAGTCATGAAAAGTCAGGAAAATTGTCAAAAAGTCAGAGAATTTGTCTCAGCTGCCTTGTTGATATTTTGCTGACAATATGCTTGACTAAGTGTAGCTGTCTGCATAAAGCAAGAGATAATGTGATACAATACAACTTATGAAAAGGATTGCAGGATATTTTCAGGACACAAAATTTCCCCAAAAATTTACAAATTACAAAAAATAATAAATAATTTTAATTTAAATGGTATTATTTATCATTTTAATCATTTTGATTGCACAATAAAACAATTTCTGATTTTTTTCCAGTTTATTAATATTTTATAATGTTCAGCAAATTTATTAAGAGATAAATTTAATAAATATATACTTTTATACTTTTGTACATACAGGATTTGTTAATGAATAATAAATAATTAATTTCTTTTTTTCTTTTTCAATCTCTTCAAATTCACACAGATTTATGGTTGTGGATTAATAACAGGATAAACTACTTTAATTTAATTAAACATTTTATTTTTAGTTTTAATAATTTGACAATTATAAAAAATATATAACTGTTAATTAGAAAAAAATAACTAATTAAACAGTTGGAGAAACAATAGCATACATGCAGTGGTGATATTCAGTGGGTTCGCACAGGTTCGGCCGAACCTGTTGTTAACATTTTCAAAGTTTTCCGAACCCATTGTTAATTAAACACACATAACATTTCCCAGTGGTTTTGTTTCTTTTAAAAAATATATTAAAATATACGTATTATACTCTGTAACACTACTAAACTAGAGCCTTATACCGTGTTCGCCTAGTGCAACCTCCATCAACTGTTTCAATCTCAACTAAAACGAGGTTCAATCATGATCGACTCGAGAGAGTTCTCGAAACTAGATCCAGTCATAAGAGAGATCCTACAATCCCACGCGCATGAGAAAATACAAGATGGCTGCAGAACACGTGTCGGGCTATCAACAGCGAAATAAGAAAGATATTGTTTTTCGAGAGACGATGACATCTGTCTATTATTATAATAATACCTAACGATAAAATAAATGATTTAGAAAAGTTTTTCTTGTTTAACTGCTTTCCCTATGACTTTTTCTGATTAAAAAAAAGCCAATTTTTATGTTTATAAAATATTTTGAATGAAAAATATTAAAATATGTACAAAATAAACCATTTTGAACACACTTTTTTATTATTTATCAAAAAAAGATAGTTCTGGCATAAACAATGTTAAATTTTAACTGACTTAATTTTGCAAACGCATCTTTTTTATTTATATGGATATCTTAAGGTCAATTTTTGCGCTAATGTTGCTAATGCACCATTTGAGCGAAAAAAAAAATTGTTAAGGAAAAATTTTCTGTTAGTGAACCCTTTGTTAAATATTTCGAATATCACCACTGCATACATGCACAGTAAATGCTGTTTTATTTTGTCAATGTGCCATACTGTAAGGGACATGGGGGAGTCAGGGAATTTGTACACAGTTGATCAGGGAAAGTCAGGAAAAGTTATGGAATTTGAAACAAAAATTTGAGTAGGAACCCTGTATTATACTAATTCTTGTTTATGAAATAACAATTAAAAACTTCAAAAATAATTGGATAGCTTGAAAATAAAAGTTATAATTACATATTCAGTTTTATTTTAAAGTAATTTTTAAAAAATCATTCTTTTCATTATTTTCAAATAGTGATGAATAGACATCTATCTATAAATACTGAAATCAATTAAAATAATCCTTAGCCTTTATACAGAATCTATAATATATACCACTAAATAGAATTGTTAAAAATAATGCAAAATTAAAGCAAGACTAAATTTCAGTTTTTATAATTACTGAATTGCTGCTTTATTGAAGAGCTAAATTAAAATGTAAATGATAACTCTTAGGTTTAAATTTATTCCAAAATTTATTTTCAATTATTCTTCACTAAATAAACACTCTTGTTGAGGCCAGGAAGCTCAAAAGTATTTAGAACTTGTTAATTTTAAAATAGTTCTCCAATAAGGCAGGAATTAACTAATTCACAGAATTAATTGTCATTTTCCATGAAGTTTATAGAAACTTCAAGGAAAAAACCAAAATTGATTCATATTTAGGAGGTATTATTATGATTATATTAGATTATGTGATTTTTTCAGTGATTTTGTTATTTATATATGGAAACCATTGTTATATAATGGTTCCATCTCCACATCCGGAAACCATTATTGTATGGTAAGGATACAAAATGTGAGGTTTGTAGAAAAGCTTTTCTAAGAATATTTCCGAACCTTTCTCACACAAGGAAAAATGGGTTGAGGTGATGGGTATAAGTTAATAGAACTAAGTGGGATGGTGGTTTGAAAAAGTTTGGGGATCACTGGTCTAAACTGATCACATTCAATTTTGTGTATTTCTGCATTGCAGTTTTATTCAAATAACATTCATTATTTTAAAATTTTTTAGTTGTATTCCTGTGCCAAATTTCTGGCTGCACTATTGTTCTACATAAAAGACACTGTTTATCAAATGGATATTTTATTGGGTTTATTTTTCATACTTTAAGATATACAAAAAATATTCATTTTATATTTATATTATATTCAGTTTAAATATAAACTTTTATGAAATTTTTAAAAAATTTTTAAAAGTTTAAAATTAGTGGTTAATAATCATCCAATCATCAGCCAAATTAATTTCTGCTTGATTAATTTGGCTGAAGTTGGATGATTATTAGAACATTGAGTTCTTGGAATGTTTATATAAATTAGTGCTTAGTTTTATTCTTTTGACTTGTTTTTGTTTTTAATTCTATAACTTCAAATGTTCATTGGAACAAATTTTAAAACTGAAGATGGCTTAAATAAAGCTGAAAATGTTTTTTGTAAATAAAATGGTTGGTTACATTGTAATAAAAACTGTCAAACTGTTTTACAGTAGAACCTCGATTATCCACCCTAATTGGGGACTGGGGTTGGTCGGATAATTGAAAAGTCGGATAACCGAAAAGTATGAAAAAATCCATTATTAGTGTAGTATATTATTATATCCCATGTAATTAGTATATTAGTATATCGCTATTAACCTACTTTGCGTTGAATTTTCATCGATGTTAAGCCTAACAAAAATTTTTTAAAATAATAATCGTCGCTATTGTATCGTTAAAAATTAGAAAATTAAGCTTCATTTAAATACTGGCTCCCTTTCATGGTCGAATGAGTGTTGCCAGCTAAAACACGTAAAAATAATATTAAAGTAGCCAAGACATAGCCAAATATTGAGCGCCACATCACTAGCGGACATTTGAAATTTGCCGACTAGGACGGTCGGTTAACCGAGGGGTCGGTTGATCGGGGGTCGGATAATCGAGGTTCTACTGTATTATGATGATGCCAAGATTTGTGGATTTCAAATATAATTATAAAATCTACAATTTTCTCTTGATTTGTTTTAATTTCAAAAAGTTTGAAAAGTTATTTTATAACATCAAAAATTATTTATTAGAACTACAGTACTTCAAATAGAATTATGGGTGTTGTTATTCGTTAAGTGCTACCAACTTGTGATCAAATAAACATTGACTAAAATTGGTCCCAATGATAATGGGACTTTACCAGAGCTTTTTGGATTCCTAAATTTATGCTGATAAGATATAGCATTTTTTGTTATGTTATCATATCTATTATTGTCATAAATAGTTGAAGAATTACAGAGGTAGAAATATTTAGGTGTCTTTTATTCTTATATCTTTTGTATCCTAAATACATAACAAAATAATTTTATTATACACAGTTAAAAAAATTCAGTATCATGTTAAACGTAAAATGTAATTTAAAATTTTTTAAAGATAGTTTCATCATATTTAGTTTATATCTGTTAAAATTATCAAACAAGTTACTTTTGATAATACAATACTTATCATGTTAGTTTTACATACATACATACATATCCTCAAGCTCACAATCCAAAAAGGAGTGAGCAGCAGGCAAAAGGAGACTACTATTTTACAAAGTATTCATTTATCAACTTTCTCCACACCTTTCTGTCCAGACACATTTCATTTGCTTCAGACACGCTCATGACTCTTCTAGCACATTTCCTCACATTCTCTTTCCGACTCAACACCTTATGTTCTTTCAGATACTCATCCATTTGTCATTTGTTCCATCCAAGATTTTCTCAGCCTTCCCATCTACCCTTGTTTGAATTAAACTTTTTTGTTCAAGCCTGAAAGTCAGTGAAGCTGACCGAAAATGTTCATTATTGTAGCAAAATAAGCTGCATCTTAAAGGTTTTTTGGAGTATTTTTGATGTACACTGTACGTTTGCATTACAATATGAAATTATTAAAATGTGATTATGTTTAATATAATAGTTTGATAGACTTATGCTTTATTTATTTATTTATTTATTTATTTAAAAGAATGTTTTACAATATAGTCTCTCATTTCAGGTATTTATTTATTTATTTGCACCACTGACTGAATTTATGAAGTATTCAGAATTTATGACAAGTTTTCGCCTAGAAAATGGATTAAAAATTTGGCAGCCTCTATGGGAATTCCAACATCCTAATGTTCCTTGTTTCACATCTCTAGTCTGTCCTAAAAGACATTTCTTTAAGCCTGCTGAAGATCATTTTATACCTACTTCATTTGGAAATGTATTTTTAGGTGCTGGAGGTAAAATTATGCAATAAAATATTTACAATATTAATATTTAAGAAAATCAATATATCTATTTTGTTTATTTCATTTTAAGATATTGATTTAAATAAGAGTAATGGTTTTCCAGCTCCTAAAACTGCTACAAGCACACCTTCTCAGGTTTAGTAAACTTCTTTAATTAAGTTTGATTATCATTTAATTAAATAATATTTTAATTTTATTTTTATTATATAGGAAGATGACATTAAATGTAATAAAACATCAAAATCAACTGAATCTTTTAGACCAGAAAAAAAGAATAAAAGTTTTATTTCATCTGATGTTTGTATGGCAACGTATCTTGATGTTGCAGTTTTACGCTGTTTGTTTATTTCACAATGGCTAGAAGAAGGTGTTCATTGGGCTTTACAATATTTATATAACAGGTCAGTTATTTTAAGTAATTTCATAACAGTTTTTCAAATAACATATTTTCGTAAATATTTATGTAGATTTCAAAGTATTGCTGAAAAAAGAGCTGAAGAAATTAAACCAAGAAAACGAAGTAATTCTCTTCCCATTCCAAAAATTGAAATTACATTTTATCAATCACCTGAACACACTGCTCGGGACTGTATCACATCTGTGGAAAATACAGAGCTCTTTACTTTAGATTCTTCTTATTTTCCAAGTCATCATACAAGTTTACAAGAACTTTGTCATTTTAGTGGATTACCAGAAAAACCAAAGCAAAAAAGAAATAAAATTGGTGATTTTAGATCATTTGTTGAGGAAAAACTTCGATTATCCGAACGTGTATTAGATAAAATAGTTAAAGATGAACCAAGTCCTACTTTTTTAATTGAAGATAATGAACAGAATCGAGTATCCATTATTAAAGATTCAATATCTATAAATATTGAAATGAAAGATTCTTTATCATTGTCAGAATTATGTCCTCCAAGACCTCAGTCTGCATTAGGATTATTACAACATAAAAGTGAAAAAACTGATGATGTGGCGCTTCCAATCAAAACTGAAATGATAAGAGGGAAAAGTCTCCCAAGTTTGCATATATCTGAAGAAAAACGTTTTAATTTACCAGAATCATTTAAAACAGCATTAAGAGAGAGCAAAAAAGTGCCTGCTTTTCATACTCATAGTGTACCAAATCCTATTATAACCGTAACTGAACATTCTCCTGTTGCTTCTGTTCAGTTTTTTCTCAATCAAGTAAGACAGTTTAAAAATTGAAATAATTAATTTTAATAATATTTAATAAGCTTACATAATTATAAAAAATTATTCAGTATTTCAAAATTAAGTTTTTAATTCATAAACTACTTTAGTTACTACTCATTTACAAATAAATTAAAAAGAATAAAATTTAAATTATTTTGTATAATCTTTATTTCTTATTACATAATGTAACATAATTTTTATTGATATATTTAAAGAAAATATTTTTGTTTTTTCATTCAACAAAATTAAACATTGTTTTAGTAATATTATTAAAATATATCTAAAAATTATATTTATATATATTTATTCAGGAATCTGTAGAGAGTCCAAGAGAGGACAGTCCCCCTGTATCAACAATTATTCCTATTTGCCGTCAGCTTTCAATAACTAGAAGTCAGACAGATTCTAATATTGCATATAATTTTGATATGGCATATGAAGCTGCAGGTTCTACATATTATATAACAAAAGATGGAGAAATTGATTTAGAAGTTGCACTTATGGTAAGTTTTAATTATTATGTTTTAAAATTACAAAATTTTAAATTTTTAAATACTTTTGTAGGCTGTTTATGAGGTTTCTATGAGAGAGAATTGTTGTTCTTTACGTGTTTGTGAAGTTATCTTAAATCTTTTGGAAATATTTTTGAAACTTGGTATTTTACCCATTCAAACTGGAAATAAGGAGCAAGAAAAAGATCTTTCATCAGTTGATACTGGTAGTTTTATTGGCAATACACCTATTGATGGTGTACCTAAAGTTGATAAGGTTACCAGAACATCTACTAAAGAAAAACAAGAAAAAACATCATTTTATTTATTGTTAGATATATTAATGAGGTAAGTAAATTTTCACAAATTAATTAAAATGTTATAATGAAATGTTATAAAAAAATTGTTTTTTTAGAATATCTAAGCATTTGGGTTGTCCTCATGGATGTGGAGAAGGACATCGATCTTCAACTGCTGATGCTTTGCGTTATAGATTATTAAGCATGCTTAATAATTTGCACAATACAGATCAGTCACAGTTTCGAAGATTTTTTCAAGAAATGATAAAAGTTAATGCTTTAACAGAAATTGTTGATGCTCTTCATACATTTTTTGGCTTCTGTTCTGAGCCTGGTGCTACATTATCTCCATTAGGTAAAATATCATTTAAATATAAGAGATAGCAATAAATCATTATTTTAAAATTAAACTATAATGGCTAGTTTAATTGTTACATATATAAACTTTATTTTACAATTTATACTAATTAAAAAATATTATAAAAATGAATGATAATTACATATTTATAATTGTAATTTCTTAATGATTATAATTAATTTCAACATTTAAAAAATAACCAAATTTATTTAAAATTAAGTAACCTTAAATAAGTTACTATATTTTTTCAATTATATAACAATTAATTTGCTTTTTAATAATTTTAAATCTGAATGCACTTTATATTCAATGGCATTTTTTAAATAATGCAGCAAAACTAAGTTGTATTACTATAAAAGTGCAAGGAAACTATATTAAAAGCCTATATAAAAATCTTTTTCTATATTTCATTTTTCAAAAGTAGATGTAACCAATACTTATTATTTTACATTAAAAAGAAATCCAATTAATAAATAATTTAATTAGTATTTAGAATAAATTCTCATTGTAAATACATTCTATTTTGTTCAAAACAATATTTGTAAAATATTGAAAGTAATTGCATACATTTGGATTAAACTAAATTAATGCCAAAAGACAGTTGTATTTATTAATTGTACTAATTTGGTGTTGAATGTGTTTATTGGTTTTATTAAAAAGAAATCTTCAGAAAATAATTTCTGAAATGCTCAGTTTATATTAAATAATCATTTTAAAATGAAAGAACTTAAAATTTGATTGAAAAAATGATTAAATTCATTTCATAGATTTGATCTGTTAAGAAGAACTTCAGTAACAAACTATTGTTGAGAAAATAATCATTATTAGCAATTCAAATATATTATAAATTGATATACTGGCTGTAATATAATGTAAGTTCTTGTTCATCAGAATCATCTTTCTTAAAATTATTATTAATGAAATATCAAATGGTGGGATTAAAAAATCTCGTGTTTATTGCATTCATTTTAAATGTTAATAATTGATCTTTAATAGCCAATACATTGTTAATTTTGTTAATTACAAATTAATAAAACAATGAATAAAAACACTAAACAGCATCACTTATGTTATAATATATGTGATAATTTTTGCTTGCATTATTTTGCCTTAAATATTGTAAATATATTTACATTATTAAAGGTATTAAAGATATATATGAAACAATGTATATGTTAATTTAATTATTTTTAGGTCAGAAGAGAACCAGTAGTGTTAGTATTCAAGACACTCCCACAACAAGTTCACGAAGTAATTATGGAAATAATTTTCGTTCATCAGTTACTGGTCCTAAGGGAGTGGAAGGAATTGTCTTGGGTTATATTTTTAAGCATTTAGTAACAAGAATGGTTCAGTCTTTAAAAGATTTAAAGTTACAAGAAAATATGGTAAAAATCATTATTATAATAATTTAAATACAGTAAACCCTCAATTTAACAGACTAATTGGGAAAAAGAGGTGTCCACTATTGCTAAAAGTCCATTAAACTAAATGTTTTAAAAACATAAATTAATAACAAGCTTAAAGTGTGCAAGATATGTTAAAATGTTGTTATGATGTATTAGTATGAATAAAATAATATAATGTACATTGAGTAATTTATACTCATAATTCCAACCTTTTAGCATGCTTTATTCACAAACAAAGAAGATTTAAAATTTTTCCTATAGGGCAAATTTTTTTGTCCATTAAATCTGAACTCTATTAAATTGATGGTTTACTGTGATTAAAACATAGATGTAATATTATACAGTCGACCCCCTATAAGATATAGATACGTTCCAATTTATTAGGAATCCAATTTCTTACAAGTCGTTCCAATCACAGCCCGACACGTGTCAGTTTATGGACTACGGCTGATTGAAAGGTTTTCTTCCATAAAATTAATCGATTCTACACTAATCCGACTCAACATTTCCAAAATACGTATATTTTTTCGTAGTTTTATAGGAATCGTAATTATAGGGACTGTAATTATAGGGGGGTCGACTGTATTTCATCTGTATTTTAATATTAGAATCTTATATTAGTTACTTTTCATGAAACTCAATAATTTCTTAATGAAAAATTAAGTTTAACGAATTTGATATCTTAGCATTTATAATAGATGTGATGTAATTATCTAAATCTAATCAAATGTCATTATCTTGAGATTTATTATAAACTTTGAGAAATATTGTCATCAAAATTTATAATGATTAATAGTTAATCATTATAAATTCTGCATGGAAAATATGATCTAGATTTTGTTCTCAATAATAATGGAGTAAATAGTTATGTTTGAGAAAAAAAAATTTATTTTTTTACAAGATGGGAAAGTTTGTGACAATTTATAATTTCATAGAAAACTTATTAGTTACTGATTACTAAACTTATTAATATATAAATATAAATAGGCATGTTGTATGAAAATTAATTTCTCTTCCAAAAGGATTTGAAGAATGTTTTTCATTTACAAGTATAATATATTTCTTTTGCAGCACTTGATAGACATTCCAAATATGTTTTTTGTTTGATTTATGTAATTTTTATTATGCTAATATTATTATTACTTGAAAAAATTTTTGCCAGTTTGAATTGTGCCTGCTTATAATTCAGATGTAAAGCATGTAAAGTATGTTCATGTCCAAAAATAAGCATAATCATTAATTTGGCCTATTTTTTCAAAAATACTGATCAGACAGATTGAAACTAACATACATGCAGAAAAATTGTATTCTTTATGCTACAAAACAATTGAAAAGCAAAAATTTAATATGAATTACATCAAACCATAAGCAATAAGAAAAAGTACNATCCGGATTTTTCCTTATCCGGACGACCTTCATCCCCAATTAGTCCGGATAATCGAGGTTCTACTGTACTGAGTTTTGTTGTTAGTGTCACATTGATAACAAATTTCAGCCCAGGAATATATACCAAACATAGACTCATACATTCATAAACATGAGTCTGTATATGTACTGTATATATGTATATTGCCAGCTAGATGGCTGAGTCATTTTAGGAGTAATAACAATATAATATGGTCCTTTGGGATACAACTCCTGTCATAAAAAATATACAGGGTGAGTATAATTAAAGTTCCACTTTGAAATGGCCATAAAATGAAAACTACTGGACAGAATGTTATCAAACTTGGTAATAGCGTACAGGATGTCATGGGATTTTATTTCCCGAGAAAAAAATTCAAAAACTCGCCATCAACGAGAAATGGTGCTATCTGCAATATTGTTAAACGAAATAAGACATGCAGACATTGTTGAAAATGTTTTTAATCAGTTTTAAAACAAAACTGTTTGTGGGGTTACACAAAATCACAATGGCTTATGGCAGGAAGAAAGTGATATGCTAAGAGCTACTGTTGAGAACACAGTAATGCAATGTAACTTGCTTATCAAAAATGGTGGACGCCACATTGAACATGCTCTGTAACGAGTTTTAAAACTGATTAAAAACATTTTCAACAATGTCTACATGTCTTATTTTGTTTAACAATATTGCAGACAGCACCATTTCTCGTTGATGGTGAGTTTTTGAATTTTTTCACGGGAAATAAAATCCCATGACGTCTTTTATGCTATTAGCAAGTTTGATAACATTCTGTCCGGTAGTTTTCATTTTATGGCCATTTCAAAGTAGAACTCTAATTATAATCACCCTGTGCATAATCTGCATCTTAACTATAATAAATATATGGACACTTAAATTTTAAATTTAAAAAGCACTCTTTCAAAGGAAGTGAAATTAACATCTAATTCAAAAATTAATTGGCCATTGCTTACTTAATCATTTATATCTTTGAAATTGTTTTTCTTATTAATGCATTCATTTATTATCTTTCATAGTTTTACCATAATCTCAGATATATTTATTTTCACATTATTAATAACATGCAGATGTTATATTTTGTTAACTCTTTATAATATACCATATTTCTTCAATTCTAAGATGTCATTAATTGTAAGACACCTTAACTTTAGTATCACCAAAAAAATCTTTGATTCTAAAGAAATATAAAATAAAATGCTAAAATGTATCTAACAAATGTTTTTATTACAATAGAATTGAATTTACTAACAAAAATTAGTAGACCTACTTATTTATCAGTAGGTACGTTTATCATCACTTCCTCCTGAATCAACATCAGAGTCTATTTCACATTCAGAGTAAGATTCTTCTGAACCATCTTTTTCTTCATTATCCCATAATATATCCATTGAGAGCATTAGTGATGCAACAGTTTTTAAATAAGTGCTGCACTATTTCTGGGATTAGTTTCCAGCTGAAGATATCCATTCTGCCAATTTTGATGCATGCACTTTCTTAAATTTTCTGGGTGTCAGAGGAAGATTGTCAGGTCTGGGCCTACTTTGTAAACAGTTCTATGATGTCAACATAGATTCCATGTACTCCAGCCTCTCCTTTGTTCCAAATCAGACTCCCACATGTAGTACATTGTACCAAATCTGACACTTCATATTTGGGGAGTGCAGGAAAATTTAAAAATTGTAAGATGGCATTAATTCCATGATGTACTCCATTTTTGTAGATGTTTATATTGGGAAGCGAGCACATCTTAGAAACAAAGAAATATGGTAATTAGAAATTCTTATTAATTTTTGCAATTAAAGAAACTTTAAATTATTTTTAAAGGCTTTATACTGTGACATTCGTCAGTTTGTAAGTTTTGTTCGAGATAATCATGGAAGTACTTTTCGCAGAGTTGCTTTGAGTGCTCTTTTAGATACTGCTGTCCAGAGAAAAAAAAATAAAAGCACTGTTCCAGTAACAAGAATTGTGAGGTGTTATGCTTTTTTAGGATTTTAATAATACATTCATTTTGATATATAAGTCAAAGATCAACTCACTCAATCAAATTTCTGAATTTTATAGACACATGAAATCTATAGATCAAGAAGAATATAAAGAACCACTTCATTCACCCACTGTTTTTATTGTTGATGAAACTGTTACTGAAAAGACAAGTAGGAAATCATTTTTTCGAAAAAAAGGAGTAAGAAAGGTTCCCAGTGCTCAGGTAAAAAAAAAGTAATATTGCATAAATATTTTAATAATAATTTAAAATAATTTTAAGATTTGACTTTTATTTTGAACAAAAATTTAGAGTATTCCAGATGAAAGAGATGATGTTTCTCCAAATCCCACATCAGGTCAGACAACACCATCTCTTCGTTATCATCATATAGTGACACCTAGATTAAGTGTCTCTGATGAAGATAATTTAACCGTAACTCCTAAAAATAAAAGTGGTCATTTTCAATTTGGTATTTAACTTATTTCTCCATTATTAAAATATAAAAATCTTTTTTCATGTATTTATTTCATAAATGTAAAATTTATACTAAAATTTCAATATATAAATTTTCATCTAATAAACTTCAAGAATAAAATAAATTATGTTTAAAATTAATGTAATTTGATTCAAAAATATTTTAAATTATACATAAGGTATATTTTAAATAGGCAATTGGTTCAAAACTGATCATTTAAAACAAGATCATAGTGAAGATGATGTCAGTATTTCTCCTGTTCCTCCTGAAAGCTATCCAGGAAGTGAAAGATTAACTAGAAGGGCAAGTCTTTTAAGTCATGGAACAAAATTGGGCCATCGATCTTCTAGTCATATGAGTCTTACCCTTCTAAGAGCTAGGAAAAGAGTTGAAGATCATTTAAATAAGATAGGATTTGCAAGAAACAAAAATAAACAGAACAGTTTTGAAGAACCCCTGGGTATGAATTATTATTGTATTATTAAAATAGATTGTAAAATTTAATTGAGCATTTTTAATCACATTTTAATATTATGAATTTTCTAAAGTGAAGAAGTAAATAGAAAAATAGATTATATAGGAGTATTAGGTATAGATTTTATATAAATATATTGTCTAATTTAATATTAAATCATATATGAAACAGCCATTGCTTTATAGTGCAAATTCATGGTTACAATTTAAAATTGGCATTTAACCCACTCAATTATACACCTGCACCCCTTTCAAACTATTTTTTAAATATAGATAACCCATGGGTTATACAAAAGAAAATACAGTACTTATGTCCATAAAGGCTGGCTATCAAATGCTTTTAGAAAATTGTATTTCAAATTTGTTTCATTTACAGGGTGAATGAAAAGCTACTTTAACACCCTTATAAAATTGAACGAGTTGAGTAGTTAAATTAATCTCTTCAAAACTTTTTACAGATTAAAGTTAACAAAGAAAACAAACCATCATTGCATTTCTCTCAAAATTCTAGCTTCATTTCATGTATCACATGACCCCATTTTCATTTAAAAATTTTGAAATGAATTTAATATGACAGCTATCTGATTGACACACACAAAGATGGTTACTCCTAGCAATAGTGTATTCAAGATTTTGAGAATATGGATACTGCTTAAGATAGATTTGGGGAAGACCAAGGTATATGTCTTGTGTCATTTTTCAGAGAATGTTACTCAATTACCTAAGAATTATAGAACTAAATATATTCGATTGACTGAATTATTCGTTATGAAAGGAATTTAAGCCTTCTGATAATGCATTTTTAATGTTTATCACAAATAAATGATTGAACTTTTAGAAAATTGAATAAAAATAATATAAGATTTACAATGAAATCTTCTTGACAAAATTAATGTTGATATGAAACCAAAATGATAATTACACTTGATGCCAAATTTTAAAAAGAAATAAAAATCACACTGTCTTTCAGTATTACATTAGTTTAATTTAAAGAAAATAGACATGCAAGTACTTTTAACATTGTATTAATTTCATCCAACACAATGTGTTAAAAGACAGTGTGTTTTTTTTTATTGCTTTTAATGTAGATATGACATAACATTAACAATTTATATTTTAGTATGAAATTAAATGTAATTAACAACAAAATTTAATTATATATGACAAAATATATATAAAATTTATTCTCATAAATTATACATATAAATTCACATATTTTTGATATTTCTTATAGACTTAAGTCGCCGAAATTCTTGTGATTTAGAACATTCATTACGAGAAGGAGAATTCTTTGTCATTAAGGAAAGCAAATTAGTTAATAGTATTCTTATAAGAAATGGAATGCTCAGATTTTCATTTCTATTAGAAACTTGCCAACCTGGATCTTTACCAGATCCACCACTGTTAGCTGCATTACTTGACTTGGTTTGTATGTTTTTGAAATATGAATTTTTGATTATTTAATTATTAATAAATTGAAAATGAATTACTTAAATTTATCAGAAAGCACCAGTGATTAGTCGTGCAGCACTCTATATAGAATGTGCAAACTTTGTTCACATGTGTAATAAAGGTCATTGGCCAAGTTGGATGAAATTAAATTTACCAATGTTTCGACCTTCTGGTCCACTTACTAACAGAGGCACACCTTCAGGTCATAAAAGAACTCATATAATACAAAGATCAGCAGGTCGTCTTTTCTATCTGTGGGCTGAAGTATGTTAAGAATTTTTTTTTACTTTACTATATTAATTTATATTGATTAAAAATTTTTTTTGCAATTATCAGAATTAATTAATTAATTGCATGCTTGCTGATTAATTAAATTTCACTTATTTATTAGGCTATTGGTGCTAGATTAGAAGAAATTTTACAAGATGAACAAGAGAACCAAGCTCCATCTGATACTGTTGATGAAAATAAAGGACGTCAGCTTAGGCTAGAGGATGAAGATGAAGAATTTCTTGATGAAGGTTTTAATTATTTCTACATTAATTTTTTCTTTTTTGAAACTTATATATATATAATATTTATAATTTTTATTAGTTACTGTTAACCAAAGTGGAAATGCTTGTCCATTTGCTTTAAAAATGACAGCGTGCCAACTGTTATTAGAAATTACAGCATTCCTGAGAGAAACCTATCAGTATTTACCAAACAAGACCGCTCGCTTTTCATCTCGTGATCGTCACACTTTTGAACCAAGAAGTATAACTGCTAATCGTAGGTGGAGTATGGCATTAAGTAGTTTGGGATTTAGCCAAAATTCTGCCCATAGTCTTGTTTCTTTAGCTGATCAAATGCATCCAAGTAAGAGATTTTTAACAAGTACTAATATTTACTACTGTTTAGAAATTCTTGTTTAAATTTAACCACAAATAATGAACAGCTTTCACTTAATATTTTACTGAATGGATTTGAAAAGCAGTAGCTGCCAAATTTCATCCATTAATATATAAATTAATCTATTTTGTGATGTTCTTCTATATTTTGCTACTACTTTAACTAGGTACAATTAGGTCAATGGCATAACTACGTATGAGTGGGTCCCTGTGCAACATTTCAAAAACATGCTTTCCCATTGAGCTTTCTGTAATTTTTTTGTGATAAAGCCTAATATACATAAAATTATAAAGTGTAAGTAATTTATTCATTTAAAAAATAGTAAACTACATTAGTACACTGTAGACTTACAGTACTTTGTGATGTATATTGGTCACCAAAAATTTTTTCTAGATAATGCAGTAAATATATCCACTGCCTTGAACAAGTCCTTCCAGTTTTCTCACTTCTGAATTTTCTGTAGAAATTAATGCTAAATTATTCAATATCTCTTCAGCCATTGATTTCGTCAAATAGCTTTTTATAATTTTTAATTTAGAGAAGGAATGCTTGGCAGAAGCCATAGAGACAGATATTGTAAGAAATAATAGAAAAGCCATGCAGACATCAAGCAAGCTGAATACAAATGCATGGTTTTCAAACAGAAGTATTTTCACTAATTCTTTCATTATAGTTCTTTTGGTAATGTCTCTCTAAGCAAAACCTAAATGCAAGTAGTTGCATTGGGAATGATGGTGATAGTTGTCTTTGTAACAGACTCCCAAAAATTTTTCTGCAGCTACATACAATTTGTCACCGTAAGTTGAGACCAAGGTTGATGGAAGAATAGCACAAAATATGTCCACCACTGTTTTTCAGATCCTTGAATTGATTTGTAAGTTGTAATATTACTACGTATAAAGTAGCATAGAAAACATCTACTTTAAATCTGCTCACAGTAGAAGTTAAGCTTTGGATTTCACATAATTCATCAAAAAACCAAAAATAAAAAGATATAGATGAAAAATATCTAATACTTTGATATTTTGAAAAAATGTGATAGTTTCAAATATTGCTTGTGAAACTATTGATGTAAGTCTTACTTCTGACAGGAACATTACAATGTATAGTTCTTATGCATTTAAATAATAAATGTTGTAATGTATTAGTCACATTTTACTTCCATTTTTCAAACCTCTTATGAAGAGAAGCACCTTGTATTAAATCATTAAAAATAATATACAAATTACTGGAAAAAAGATTTTTGTATTTAAAAAAATAAATGTGTGATGTAGTCGAACTTCCTATATCAAAATTAGGCCTTAATATTAATATTGCCCAAGTTACATAACAATTGTTGTTCATAGCTACCTGAGAAAGTCTCCCATTACATTTTCTTGAAGGCAACATGACGCTTTCTCGTGATCTATTAACCTCTGAATGGCTGATATCACTAGAGACAGCCGAGAAAAGCCATTCATCGTTAATCCCTCCAATCAAGAAAGTCATAACCAATCCCTTCCAGAATATCATTGACCCAAGAGAAACGAATCCCTCCAAATAATCAAGATCAGTGACTATCTGGATACACTTTATTTTGATATCACCCGACATTGTGCCAGTTGACCTCTATTGGATACTAGTTTTGAACAGATGATCAAGTGAACAAGCTGCATCAATCAACGAGAGCTCTGCTCCATCAAGATATTCACTTCCACCACAATGTATTTATTCAACTCACACCTGTTATGTGAACTCTCTCTCTCTCTCCACAAAAAATCTGGAAATTCTGTATCTTCTCCATTTTTTTTTTTTTTGATTAAATTATTATTAATTGTTAATTGGAGTCTGAGTCACTCTCATATGTTGTCTCTTGATCGGTTGACATTATGAATCTGCCCATCTGCTCATGGAGCCGCTCGTGCGATGTTCATCAGGATATCCTCTTACACCACAAGGTATTTATTCAACTCGCACCCACTATGTGAACTCTCTCTCTCTCAGCCAAAAAATCTGGAAATTCTGTATCTTCTCCATTTTTTTTTTTTTTGATTAAATTATTATTAATTGTTAATTGGAGTCTGAGTCACTTCCATATGCTGTCTCTTGATTGGCTGACATTACAAATCCTGTCCACTTATGGAGCCACTCGCATGACTGTGCAGCGTTTATAACCACCATCTCNTATCTTCTCCCATTTTTTTTTTTTTTGATTAAATTATTATTAATTGTTAATTGGAGTCTGAGTCACTTCCATATGCTGTCTCTTGATTGGCTGACATTACAAATCCTGTCCACTTATGGAGCCACTCGCATGACTGTGCAGCGTTTATAACCACCATCTCGGCTTCCATGTTCCACAAAACACGGTGGTGTCAATCCTGACAGGGCAATAAAGAGGTGCCGACCCTTAGGTCACAAATGTACTGTATCTATTAGAAAAATATAATATTTGTATTTTACTGTAGAAAACAGCAACAAAATAAATAAGAAATTTAAATTCATGCAAAGTTTATATTCTCTGCTTACTCTTTCTATTATTTATATTACTTTGATCATAAAAGGCTACTATATCTGAAGTGTTACACATAACAGCATCCAGTGAAAAAGCAGATTTTTTCTGTTAAAGTTGTTTGGGCTGCTCACTGATACAGTTCTCTCTCTCTTTCAAGCATTCCACTTTTAACATTGGTCAATCATGCAGTATAGAGGGAATAATTCTCTTATATAATAAAACAACTGGCTGGTAGTGTGAAAGGTAAAGGTCCCTTAGCTGCTTTGGGTTCTTGTGCAAATGATAGCTTGCACAAATGGTAGTTATGCCACTGAATCAGATATCTTATACAAAAGAATAAGATAGCTAAGTTTATTTAATCAGTAAAAAGAATTTTTTATTTTCTGATAATTTGAAAAATATTTTACTCGTGGATTAATTGATATTTTCTTTANTTATATATGTGACTAGGCTGTGGATGCGAAGAGAAGGCTGCAAACTTTACAAGAACTTCACGTCAATAGCCTAGATACATATATATATATATATATATATATAATTTATATTACTTTATATCAGTTTTTTTAGAAACTCTGTGATTTTGTTTTGAACTGTTTTAATGGCATATTAAAGTTTTTAGTTGACCTGTTCAGCCAAATTTTTCTACCCTTATATATATTTTTTTTAGGATATAATAATGAATTTGGATTTAAAAAAAGTTTTTTGGCAACATAGCAATAACATTTGTAAAGTTGAGACATTAAAAAGATTTATTTCAATAATACATTTACAAGACATTTTTCAACTTTCTCTGCATCATGGAAAATTAACTTTGGAATATATATATAAAAAAATTATGAAAAATTAGTTCAATATGTTTATGAAATGATAGTAAAGTTTTTATTTAGATATTTTAACAGGAGATTTCAGAAAAAATTATTAAATGAAGGTCATTAAATACACTAATTTTACTCAGTCTGGAAAGTATTAATTCTTAATATTTGTTTATATTTTATTTTTTCAATTTTTACACTTAATGAGTTAACCATAAGATTTTTAATGCTAATAATAACAATGTAAGAAATAACAATAACAATTATTGTTTAATTATTTTTCATAGTTTTACTATTTGATTCTCGTCAGCTGGCCTGACTTACAATTATGAAGGTTTCACCTTTCTCTGGTATACTTGGGCTAACTAATATATAAAAATTTTAAAGAATAATTTATAACCAAGACCATGGAGAATGATTTTGGATCCCAGAACTAGAGGCTCCTGGGCACCCTTTATTCTTTTGTCTGATATGATGGCTCAGTTTATTACATTTTTTTCACTGTTAATGCACTTGAAATTCCTAAATTGATTTTCTAGACTTCTATTAAAACAAGTATTAATGGAAGTCTAGAAAACCAATATGGTAAATCTTTATAATCTAACATATATGGGACAAGAAGAGTGTTAGATTAAGAAGATTGTTGGATTATTGAAAGTTAGTACAGTGGGTGATCAGTCAATGAACATAATTGGTTCCAAGACTTTGTTTGCTATCCGAATTGTTTGTTAACCGATTATTGATTTACCATAGGTTTCTATAGGAATTTGATTAATTCGTTCTAGAGACCCCAAAAAAATAAAAAATATATACTTTCTTACTATGTATATTCATATCTATCTATATATATATATATATAAATGGACATGTGTGTCTCTATATTTCACTTTTCAGCCAAAACTACACATCGCGCATGAATGGTGTTTATATGTGGTAGTAGCCCCAAGTCTCCTTTTGTGCACTATGGTGGTTGCGTCTCAATAGCTATAAGGGTGCAGGAGATATGGGCTTGAAAGTGGTTGAAAGTGGAAGATTTTCTATTTCGATTTTAAAAATTTTCGAATTCAAATTCGAATTGGTTTGATTATAGAACGATTGTAAATGTTCCAGAAAATTGATCAAATTGAAAATAGTTTGTTTGACTGGACATAAAAATTCTCTAATTAGTCTGGAAACGGGGGACCTAATTCTTGCATTCTGTGAAAACGGGTAAGATTGGCTATAATGTAATTATCTTAATCTTCACTATCATTACTTTTTGCCCACAAATAAAAACCCAGCGAAGCGGGTCCTTGCAGCTAGTGTAATAATAAAAATACATATATACACAGTCTTGCATTTTTATTAGTCATGTTTTTTCTGTTTGTGGGGGTTAAAGAATCTGTCCAATGTCAATTGCTTTTTTGTCTTCTTCATGATTTTTCAGAAGTAATTAATAGCATTGTAATTGTAGAGATCCCTAGGCCTATTAACCTCAACCTGATTTGGATGCCATTTTAAGACCATTGTGACATCCTCCCACTTCTTCAAAAGATCTTTAATAGCAGATATCGGCATAAATCTGCATTTTCAGAAGAAAATGTAAAAGAATTGTTTCTGTCCAAAATATAAAAGGCTGGAATTACAAGGGAGAGTTTCAAAGTTTGGAGGAAGACTATCCGATCAGTATATACCGGGTAAATGTTGACGTCTCCCGCACTGCGAAAAGTTTCGAATTGTTGCCTGAAGACAAAGGAAGACCAATTGGTATTCATTATTTTACGTTGCTTCTTCTTGCGTTTGTTCAGTGAAGTGTTCGTTGTCCGATCCTAAAAATCTTTCGTGAAAGTGTTTGTTATCAGATTTGTTCATTAACCAATCACCCACTGTATATTGTATTAATCAAAAATATATGAGCCATTTATTTTGAAAGTGGCCTAAGTTCACTTTGACAAGTTTCAAACTAATATCCAGTATATTATGGAGTAAAATTTTATTAGTTAATAATTACAATAATAAACTATTAAATATAACATAATTTTACAATAAAGAATACTAATGGAATACTAAATGGTAAGTTGGTTAAAAATATGTTGGATGTGTTTTTTGAGAATTGAACCATATAAAATGTTCTATAAAACATCAATTAATGAGGATACAGAATTTAAAATACTGGATTTACTGCTGTGTCTGGAGAGACCAAGAAACTTTAATAATATTGAATTGACACCACTGTACAAAAAACGAATAAAATTGAATATTTTCTATTTATAATATAATACAGTACAACCTCCATTATCCGGACCTCCATTATCTGGATTTTCGATTATCCGGATTTTTCCTTATCCGGACTACCTTCATCCCCAATTAGTCCGGATAATCGAGGTTCTACTGTATATTGTATTGTTTTATTTATTTTAAGGATATTATAACTTTTTCAAGGGGCTTATGCTTTTTCAAAAATTATAAAAATTAATTCATGGTTTTGAAAGTGGCTTAAGTTCATTTATGGCCAAAAAAAAACATGTTATTTTTAAAATAATGTTTATTATACTGATTGGTTAAGTAAATTAAACATTTTTAAAAACACAAAAGCATTATATTACAATGTTATCAGTTACCAATATTTTTAAATAAAACCCTTAAATATCTTGATTTAAAGATAAATAGACTTAGGCCACATTCAAAATAAATGGCTCATATAAAGATCACATGTTAATGTATTTTAGAGTTCTCAAATCAATCATCAATCTTTTTAAAATAATTTTCAATTTGTCTTTTGCTGTTTTGTCATTGTGCATTCTGGCATTGCCAGTAATTAGTGCTGGCAAGTTGGTGGCTTCCCACTGGGGTTTCTCATTTCCCAGTCCTTTGCTTGTCTCAGAATTTCAGAAAAAAGTAAACTGTTTCCCGGTATACCAGGAAATCCCAGGATATAATTAATTATTTTTAAGATATAAAATTAATCTTGGAATCCAATGATATAATTATTTTTCATTTTTTTAAGTAATCTAATACGTTCTGCAACCTCCAAAATGATCTTATTAATAATGTTGTGTAAAATATGTATTAAAAATGCTTGTCCA